TATAAAATTATAAATTAATTTTTTTATTAGTTAAAAAAAATAATATAATTTCTCTTTTTTTACTTAATTTTTTTAGTTTTATTATAATTAATAATATGATTATATATATTCATATATATATATATATATATAAGAAATTTAGAGCTCCCCCTTGTCATGCCTAAGTTCCGCCTCTAGGGTGGAGGAGAAGAGTGTAAAGAAAAGATAGACAATAAAAATGAGGGAGTTGAATAGTATTAATCAAAAACTTGCATTTTTTCAAATTGTGAAGTAATAATGTCAACACTAAAGAGTGCTGGAGAAGAGAGACAGACAAAACAAACAATATTTTTATTCTAATACGTTTGAAGTATCGAGATTATGTCTAATTCTCAATCTAACTATATTGAGTTTCACTATCTTAAATAAAATATAAATATTTTTTCAACAAACCACTTATAACTCAAATTTAAATATTTTTTAAATTATATCTTCAAATAATCTATCCAAATATTCATTTCATACAAAGTAATTACAGTAATCAAAGTCATGTTCGATAATTGTTACATGATCACATGTATGAGTGATATAAACTTATTACTAGGAACATAAGTAAATTTACACGTGTTGATTGGCCTACGAACAAAATGATCTCATATATATTCATAGATCATACAGACCTCAAATTTCATGTATAAACATAAGGACAGAGGGGTCTTATAATTAACGACAAAAGTAGTAACGATAATAAAAATCATGGTCTATAATTGTTACATGATCACATGTATGAGTGACAAACTTAATTACTAGGAGGCGGAGCATAAGTTTGGAAGGTAAATTTACACGTGTTGATGGGCCTATAGACGAAATGATCTCATATACATTATTCATATATATTCATGGATCAAAGAATATGCAAAATACAGACCTGAAATGTCATGTATATTATTATATGTTCATATCTTCATTCAGACCATTTGGAGTGTTCTTTCGGCTTCCTTATCATCATTCTGTTGTTCTGGGGAGATCTTGCTGTCCGCTGAATGTTGTTGTTTGGACTTGACACACATTTCTGGTTTGAATTCAGCTAAATCTGAAAGTTCCTCAACAGCTTCCACTATGCCTTCCACACGTGCCACAATTTCATTAAGCAGAGAAGCTACGGTCACAACTTGAATAATTTCCATAAGTGGGATTTCTATCTTTGCAGCTACATCATCAGGTGTACGTTTTGCATCATGTGACGTAGGGTTAACCAAGTTTGGATAAGAGTTTAATAAACTACGGAGCTCTTGTGCAGCACTATTCATCTCAGTAACCAGAATATCAAGTTTTGATGATTTTTTCGTGTTCCTTATTGTGCTTGCTAGCTCCCTTATCACACTCGCACACTTGCCACCCACTTTCATGGAGATGCTGCTCATAGTCTTCTTCATCTCATCAGAGGCCTGTTCAAATTAATTGAATTAACTATCAAAATTTTTACTAATATACTAACATATTATGTAATTAAGATTTTAAAGATTTGATTGATATGTAAATTCACCATGTCAATTTATAGTAACACATTGTTTAGGATATGTAATATATATTACAATAATGCTTAACATGATAATTTGATTAGAAATTGAGTTATTACCTTGTTGTCTGAATTTATACATCCAATAAGAGCATCTATACAGGAAGCACAACTACGCATTGAGGCCCCAATTTTAACATATTGCTTCCACGGGTGACGGAAGTTGAAGCGGCCATGAGCAGGTTCCCATCTAGCTAAATTTGCCTTGAGGATAAAAATAATATTAGTGGCACTCTATATCTATATCTATCTATATATATATCTATATATATATCTATATATATATATAAATATTTACATATTGGATATGTATGTATATAAACACTATGTACACAAAATAAATTGAAGTATTATAATTAAATAACGAGATATTCACAAATAAAAGTTGAGAGTTACAAGTATATACCATGGTTTCCTCTGTCGCTTTGGAACTTAGCACACACTTGTAGCCTAGCAACTTTTTGCTACACTCATCATCACTTTCTGCTTCTGGGGCACTACAAGCGAAATACTGAACCACACAACCTGAAATACATGTATGTGTAAATTATATATAGAGCATAAATGGTAATGCATAGGACTGTGAAATCAATAATTTATATTATCTATCTATCAAAGGTATATATAATTTGAATTTGAAAGGAAGGAAATGAACATTGAAAACTCACATTGCAAGGAGTTGGCCAATTTGTCGAGGTTCCCTGTGACTAAAACATAGAGTTCCTGACCAGCCCAGATGGGGCGAATGATGACGCTAACAATTATGCACAAAATGCTGCCAGCTATAATCGTGAACATTCTGTACTGTGCCAAAGCCAACAACTCATCAACACGATAACCCGATACTGACACCAAGCTGAAAGTGAGGATGAATATCATAGCACCATAATCAAAACGAGCCTTTATGGTGGGGATGAACCTCGAGAATGTTGCTGCCGAAGCTGAACAAAACACCAATTTTTCACTATCATATATAAAAGTCGATAGTGTGCATGAATATATAGTATGCAGAAAAATGGCACTATATTGTGCATGCATGTAAGATTTTATTTTATTACCTAAAATAAAAAGAGAGAGTCCAGTGATTATGGGTTCATATTGATCTCCTGCTTTACTAGCTACCCAATGTACACCAATGCCTAGAAATCCAGCGAGGAAAGTTCCACAAATTCTGTTAACAGTTTTACATATGGTTGCACCTGCAATAAGATATATATGTGTCATGATTTCATGAGGGACATTTCATATGAATAATTTTAGTTAAAGAGAAAGTAGACCATGCACTGATAGTTTAAAATAGTTTTACATTCTTATTCGAACCATAGATCATCATGTATGTTAAATTTATTGACTTTTATATAATAATTATCTTAAAAATTATCGCAAGGATGATTTCTAAATTTTAGTTGATTAACGATGCAGATTCGTTAAGATAGTAGCTAGCTAGCTATATATGTAGCAGTACGTACCAGCCGTGTACTCAAACACTACAATGACAGTCATGACAGCCCACATAGCATTTCCTCCAACGCCATCATACAAAGGCTTCCAATAGTAGAAGAGGGAAACAGCTGAAAGTGCAATCCCTACTTTCAAGCAATGGATGAATTTTCTTGGATCATTCACCCCCAACTCCCATGCTTTCTTCACAAACTTGCACAACCTCAAAGCCAAACCTGCTGTAATTTCCCACATGCAACCAACCACTCTTCTCTCCAATGTGCCATCTTCTTCTACCTTGATCCTCCATTCGACTTCTTTTGCCACTTCCTTGCCACCAGCCATCTTCTTCAATACTAAACCTGTGTGTATGTGTTTATGAAATAAGAAAGCTGCTGTACTGGAGAATATTGTTAGAGCAAGATTAGTGGCAAAGGTCCTAATTAATTAAATGCCACAAAACCTTAGCGGATCAAGCTAGAGGGTACTCTTACATTTATATAAAGAGAGGCCAAGTGTCGTTGTCTCAACATGAGGATATTAAATGTTAATCAGGACAAAACATTTTATTTTTAATTCAGTGAAATAGGGAGAGTGTATGGCCATTAACTTTTTATAAGTCGGTAACTTTATATTCTATTGTTAGAGATAGCTGATGCAAGAGCACACCAATCCCACTCAAGTATTGTTCTATCTTTTTCAGTAGGTACATGTCCCAAATTCAAATTGTTGGGCATACTATATTTATATATCTACATAGATGCTCATATCTTCTTGTATATATAAATATGCACGTACGTGAGCACTAATAAACCAAAGCATGCAATTAAATGCAATTTATATATTAACTTAAGTTGCACAAGTAGTAATGAAGAATTCACGTTATATAAATGTTGAAGTTCGAATATTTAACTCTTACAAATATAAAAATTAAATTGAAAAAAGATGTTCAACAATTTGATATCTTTCAGATTTCATCTATATTTGTTGAGAAATGTTCCTCGATAATGAAAAAAAAAATGCAATTTGCATTATTGCAAACAAAGTTAGTCGGCATTAATTTCATGATAGGACTATATTCAATATGCATAATGGGCTACTTGACTTAAAGTGTTCTCATGAATATTTTTTGAAAATTCTAACTAGTTAATTCTATCATTACGCGTGTATTCTTTCATTACCTTTTTATTTTGTTATAAATGGGCAACAAAACATAAAACTATACACGTATAAGGTATAAAAAAAAAAAAAAAAAAAAAATTAAATTGAAAAAAGATGTTCAACAATTTGATATCTTTCAGATTTCATCTATATTTGTTGAGAAATGTTCCTCGATAATGAAAAAAAAAATGCAATTTGCATTATTGCAAACAAAGTTAGTCGGCATTAATTTCATGATAGGACTATATTCAATATGCATAATGGGCTACTTGACTTAAAGTGTTCTCATGAATATTTTTTGAAAATTCTAACTAGTTAATTCTATCATTACGCGTGTATTCTTTCATTACCTTTTTATTTTGTTATAAATGGGCAACAAAACATAAAACTATACACGTATAAGGTAAAAAAAAAAAAAAAAAAAACACGTGTATGCGTATTCAATATTATTGCAAAAGGAAGGTGATAAAAAAGATCTGGACATAATTGTTTTGGTTCATGTTTTATTTTAGACGTCCAGCCCCAGCATGGGCATGCACGCATTACATTGTTTTGGATGAATTAAAAACGAATAAACTAGTCGAGTCACTTGTTCCACACCTAATTTATATAGGCACTTGCATATATTTTACGACAATTCACATTACGTATCTTCTTTAGTTGACCTAAAACCAGCAACATTATAACTTGTATATGCAATCTCATGGAGTAGTAGTATAGTGACATGGTCCACCATGTCTAGCATTGCTTGCGTGTTGTACCGCACACATGCCTCTCCTGATTCTTAGTGGCTCCTTGATCTGATGATTCTTCTGCTGTCTAAATATGGATAATAAAATTAGGAATTAGGTCATGAGTAGGATCTTTTATTAAAAAGCCTTAAAACATTAATTTTGAGGCAGATTAGGGTTGTGGGATTAACAATGGGGACTCCATATTGGTCATATCTTCTCTTGGCATTTTGAAATGACAGCCATTTATATGGGAGAGCCCTTATCTAACTCCTTTTCGGTGTTTGCGCACTATTTTTGAAAAGTCAACCCAACTATCAAAAGTTGCTTTATGTATATAGATATATAATTTATAAATATATACATACTTTGTGTCACCATTTTCTTAAATCTTGTCCTAATTTGGCATAATTAATCAAAGTTTAAAATTGTCAGTTGCAGCAACATTTATAACTTTGCCTACTTTTGGTTAACTATTCGTACAAAGCATGTGTGTCCGGATTTATGTGGATGAATCATATCATCACATCATGTAAGATATGTAGTTTTTATTTTTTTTTAATAAAGGGATTGAAACACTACAGCTAGCAAGGACCATATTTGTGATTAGTACTACATTATCTCTTGTTGGCCATTTGTTGGTTTAAACTTCAGCAGACGTATTGCAAACAGACAAGCAACTATATATACCTAATAATTTCTACTATAAGGTAAACAATTTGGATGCGTTATCCTGATGAAGCAGTTTATATTTGGCAAATGAAACACCATTACGACTATTTTGTAGTCTTCTTAATTTCATGAACATGGATATGTGAATCTAATAATAAATTGCTGCGCGGATATTCCTTGAAGATGTGAAATATGAAACTCTAACTAGTGCTGCATAGAAAGACAAACTAACGGGATATACCCTGGAATTTTTTTGTTAACTCTCAGAAAGGAGCTGAATGAATTAGGTCATGAGTACAACTTTCATATTTTAAAAGATTTCAAACATTTTGAGATGAATGTGGGTCCATAACATTGTAGAGCACTTATTAGCTACTTCCCTGGATCCGCACTCTCATTGAAAAGACAAACCAACTATCAAAAGTAGCTTTAAAGTACTTTATTGGGTCAGCATTTTCTTCATGTCCTAACATTGGTCTTTACTCTTAACCAAAGTTATTTAAAGTTGTCTTGCACCTACACAGCCATGTTGCCTTTTAGTTAACCATTCGTAATGCATGTGTTCGGATTTGTTTGGATGATTCGTCATCTCATCATTGCATATTGTTTAGCTTTTTCATAAAACGATTTAACCACTACACCAAGAACCATATCATTAATCATGTAATCTTTTGTTCACCTTTTTTTTACAACTTCTGCAGGAGAAGGGTTATTTGTAAATCAATCCACCTACAGTCTAATAAGTGCGACTGTTACAGGAAATCATTCTGCTATATGCTAATGAAGTTGATTATACTTATTTGGCACTTGAGAATTGAGATACCGTTCCAACTATTATATTTAACATCTTCATGGACACAAAGGAATCTAACAATAAATCCTAGAAGATTTAAATTATCTAAATATGCCTTTGGATGCTCATTATTGATCACTCTAACTTTCGGTCCATATAGAAAAACAAAGTTGATTGGATAAACCTTGAACTTCCCTAGTTAACTCGAGAAGAAACTGCCACTGTGTCAGAGTCAACAAAATAACAAGGAACCAGTCATGTAAGCAATTTCATCGAGAGAATCTTCTAGTTTTTCATATACTATAATTATAAAATGAGACAACGAGAACACAGGAGGAATTAATGCTTAGAGCAATTGAATTATGTTCACTCCTTACATGTCTTGCATGCTCAGCAATTTTCATTATACATAATTTTGCACCTCACATTTCAATTCATCACTTGCACAGCCTCTTCCATGTGATCACCTACAATTTTTGCTAAGTGTATCCTAATCTATCATCTATGTACACGCATGGATCCTGTTTCTAGGACCTGCGGAAATGGGTTGATTATCCTCTTCTTCCCTAAATTTTGGCATCAATGACATCGCTATGTTTATTAGAAGAATCAACGCCAGAGTTGTTTGTTTGCTGTAGAAGATGGATAAGGGACCAAAACACATCTATCCTTGTCACGTGTCTGGTTGCCTGTTGCACAAAGTCAAGTAAACCAGTGTTAATTCTTTTATAAAAGCTAAAAAATGAGAGAGAAAAAATTGCCACCATTTAAATGTTGTAATTTATACTCTAATATTGCAATCAAATATTGGATCTACCTCAACAATAAAGCGTGCCCATAATTTGTTCTTCCTTCTTTCCATCTTGGCTTTCAAGATATTCAGCCCCAAACCCCTAATTAAGTCAATTATCTCAAGGAAGAAACCCTTTTCCTCACAAAGCATCTGCAACAGAACAATGCTAATGAATTCACTGTTGCATAGGTAATCCAAATTCCAAAGGATTACAGATGATATACAAAACATGCATTCTTAATGCTATCATACCTCGATAAGCATTTGTCCAGGTAGACTCATGTCCTCAACTATAATTGGGCATAACATGGTTTGGTGTGCCACTTCAAATGCCCATGTAATGCCACCGTTTTTGCTATCCGCCACACCACTGTCTTTTAGAACCACTTCATTTTCCTGTTCAACAAGCTAAACATCCAAGCAAGTCCAATCATTTTCTGATGCTGAGTGAGTGATGAAGATTAGAAACGTTTATTTTCTTTTAAAAGAAAAAACTGTAGAAAAGTAGTTTGATCAGTTACCTTTGGCTCATTTGGTTCATGTAGCTTGTCTCCATACTTGAGCACACTTTGTAAGAAAAGCATGTATCTGATGGTGCGGTCTAATAAAGAATCAATGCTACACTGTCAAATCAAGGAAACATTTTTCAACATGTTAATATCAAAACAATCTGCATCACAACAAATTAAAAATATTGTAGGCTAGGATTATAAAAAATCATAAAGGTTGAATGGAGCAAGTTTTATGAAATTAGAAATTTTGCATAGTATGTAGAGGAAATATTAGATTGTTCTTGCAATTACTTAAAAAAAATAGAAGATTTATTCTTAGCTTAATGGTTAGTTAAAGCTTCATTTACCTTTCCACCATTGGGGATGATTCCTCTCAACTCTTTAATACAATCTTGGATTTGCTGACGATCTTTTGGCCGTGGTCGAGTACTCTCCCCGGGCCTTGCCCTCTTCTTAGTAAGCTTTGTGGGTTCCTCTGGCTTTTTAGGGTGTAATGAAACAGCCTTTCCAATATTAATGCTATGGCTATCATCAATCCGCATGCCTGCTTGTAATTTTGGGAATGTATCTTTCTTGCTTTGAAGATTGTTTGTGCTGTCTAAGTCACAAAGTGGATGCAACAAGTCTGCTTTAGCCCCAGGCATTCTATAAAGGTTGGTGAAATGTATTGGATTTCTATTCACTGGTGAAGATTCTATTGTCTGCCTCTTATTGCTTGATAAATCATGCTCAATGTCAGAAGTATTAAAAGGATTGTAATTTGCTGCACTCCTCAGTAGCTCTTCAATTCCTAACTCAGTGAATAATCTCTTCCGGGTGCCGGATAGTGTATCAGTATTCAACTCTGATATGCATTCAGAGAAGCCAGTATCAGTAACACCACTCATTACTGGTGTAAGCATATTCCCCCACCATTCATGAGCTTGATCATAGCTAAAATCAAGTTCCATGCTATCCAAGAGATCTTTTTCGTTGCTATGCATAACCACAGATGTTTCTTTCCCATCGGTGTTTGAATTATGTACAGATTGGTAGGTCACTGAAATATCATTTATAGAACTATTTCCAACAAGATCCAAGGAAGTGGGATTAAATTCTGTTGATTCAGAAAAGTTGTTATCCAACGCAATTGCTGCTTTGCTGATACTATCCTCTGGAGTAGAAACAAACCACTGACAAAGATCATCCATAGAGCTGAACTTCAAAATTTCTTCCGACATATCAACAGGTTCGAAATTCTTAGAGTGTCCATGCAATGAATTTGAACTTAAGGGAAAACCAACATCTGTCACAACACTAGACTGGGTTGAATATTGGTTATCCAGTGAATTTTGTAATATGCCTTGAAATGACCCTCTGTCCATACTGCACAATGAGGTCAACACTGAATCCTTAGTAAATGCATTTTCGTTCGTAAAACAAACATCTGCAACTTCTTGTGCCGTTGCATCGGATACCAATTGTTGCTCCAACAATTCAAAAGCAGATAATTCATCGCCACATGCACCAAAACTGGGGTTTTGAGGAATTAAGTTGTTCATAGAAGAGTTGGGCTTCAAAAGCATATCTGATAATATAACTTGAGCTTCCACGGTAGCTTTCAATTGGTCACCAAGATAAGAAGAATCTCTTTGCAACGAAGGCATCGCTTCTTCATAAGTCTTATATTGGGAAGGGAAGGGATTGTTGGAACTAATGGAATAAATGGAAGCCAACAACCCATTTAAATCATTATTTTCATAATCCAATGGTAAAACAGCATTTCCTGGCATGTCAAGCATACCCATATCATCAACTATCTCCGTGAGCACGCTTTGTGTTTGCTCCAAAAATTCCACACTCTCCAAAATCTGCAGCAATGGAAGTATTATATATGATATGATCAATTAACACTCAGATATGCATCAGTGTAGATAAATATCCAAGATCATCAATAAATTATCAGCCATGATGAAAATAACAAAATTTGAGCTAGTACAAATTAAGGAGGCACAACATTCAAATAAATATTGAACCAATAGAATACATATAGTGAATTATGCTTGTCAATTAGCATCCTTAACTTAACAAAGAAATAGTTAGTTAAATAGTATGCCGAAGCTGGAAGCTCTCGTATATTTAAGAAAATGCTATTCCACAAGAATATTTTTGCATTCAAAGCATAATGCATTAGAGTGAAATGAGTAAAAGGATTCCACATCCTATCATAACAATAAGGGAACGCTGTTTTAACAATTGTGTCCGAAATTTTTATGTCATCCTAAAATACTCTTCCAGATGAAACATGAGTATAAACTTCTACTTTCCAGTCTTTCAGATAAAGAGCTACAATTTTAAACGAGAATTAAACCTTACTATCATTCAGATCTAGCTTCGACATTATGAAATATTATAATTTGGATTACCGTTACAACACTCACTAGGTTTAAATAGTTAAACCTAAATAAACAGTACAAGGGAAGATTTAAGGTTCTCTGTTTGTGAAACAATAACTATTCATTTTCTATATAATATTATTAAAAAATCCAGAGCATGCATCCTGTTTAAAATAAAAGTCATACTAAAACCTCTAATCGGCATCTATCAATTCAAAGTTAGTACAGAAACCAGGACACATTGTGCGTCATGATTCTAGTTGTCAAAATAAAACTTGCCTGCACAAATTCATTTATGCATGATATAAAAAATTCATGTTCTTTGATGATACTAACCTTCTTTCTGGATCCAAACTGTACCACGCCGCTTGCTTTGACAGGTATGACCACAATAGTCTACAAAACAGAAATGTTTATCAATATACATCAAAAGATAACCAAATAAGCATACACCATACGGTATTGACACTAATTACATGTGATCTTGCTAACTTGAACCAAAACAATTGTATCTGAGCATTGAAGGAAATGTTTAAAGAGAGGGGAAAAGGAAAAATACGAAGCTTGGAACTTCAACTATGAAATACATTTTCCTTCCTTTTGTAGTACCTTTATTCCAGAGGAGAATTGTTGATGCAATCCAGAATCATCCTAAATAAAGAAAGAAAATTCTTTAGTGATAAGTGGACAAAAACTAAGAGCAACCGAAAGGTGAAAAAAAATGGCACAAACTCAACAGTTGACAACAATACCTCACACACATTCTGCCCAGTCAAATCCCAATCATGAGTTTGACCATCTGAGTGCACCCAACTGTGCTTCCCCGTGAAAGCAGCTTCACCAACAATTCTGCTCAGGACATGGCAACTGTATCAGCCATTTATCTTACATTGGTATGTATTTTGCGCTTGAAAAATCTCCACTTTTATGACTGGTTTAGTGAAAATTATACAGTTTTGGAAAAGTGCAAACAAACAAAAAAACAATTTGAGCATACCCTTCACCCAGCAAGTGGACCTGTGGAAGCATGTTGGCAATCTCTTTTCCCAAATGCTCTTCACAGTATGTTTCTTCCACAGTCAACAACCTAAAGGAATTTCAAACATGCAATGCAATCCACGGTGAGAAAATCAAATGACAGCCAAATGTGAAACCATTGCATAGTAGAATTCAACAAGCATTATAATTTGTGGTATTTTATCAACAGTATAAGAAAACGTTTGACCTTCCTGGTACCACAAACGAGAAAGGAGAAAAAAAAAAAGACATAATTGGTACAATAGAAGAGAATGTGAGTGAAAAAAAAATGCTTACAAGGAATTCCTTGGATGAAAGCGCCAGAAAATAGCATAAGACCATCCATCACCCCAAGTACAAAGAGTCTTGAGCTTATTCCTTAGAGTAAGAGGCATTGTCATTTGCCACTAACTAAAGGGTTAGTAGTATTATATATGCATGAACAAGTATGGTCTATAATCTATATAGAAGAAGAGAAATTGGTGAAATGAAGGAAGGGCCACTAAAAGAGAATATTCAGTCAAGAAGATTGGAAATGTCAAAGTGTCAAAGACAGGAAGAAAAGGAAAGGCAAAGTCTGAACAGAAATGTTGTCAGGTTTGGCCTATTCTCGCTTTGAATCAAATCTGAGAGCATAATATTAATATAGACAGAGAGTATATAATAGTATAATGTAGTTGTGTTCCTCTTCCCTAGCTTCCAATTTCCAACACAGCTTACGACATCACTGGTCCCACTCACTCACCGCCTACAAATATTCCCCAACTTCACTTTCGTTCTTTATGTCATCTGCTTATAATTCTTCATAATTTCATATATTCGCATTCATTGCCAAAAGTTAAAAACAAATACCGTCATTTCTTTTCTTCATACTAATATAAAGCAGATGAATTCAAGACTTACATATATTTTAATCGAATTTGACCCTTTTCTTATGAATTTCAACATTACGTGCACCGACAAATTAATATAATTGTACTGATTTATTCATTTATTAATTTATAATTATAATATCCGGAGAATAAAATGGAAGGTTATTACGTTCTGAGATTAAATGCAGAAAAGCTACGGTCATCATTGGACTTTTATCATACAGATACGCATGTATGGTAGAATTGAAAGTTTAGATAAGAAGAAATATTTTGTGGTTTCATGCTCATGATTATATCATAATTATCCATAATTAATACTAATGGATGGGAATAATTATAGTTTATGAACATTGAATTTGAGAATCTTATGATATTGTGAAAAGTTGTCCATACCATAGTAGATCATAATTAATTAATAGTCTATGTGTTATTTTATGTGTATAGAGAATCTTGCGCCCCGCGCTCGAGTGACATGCACAGAACTGGCAATGCCTTGTAGCACTAATTAGTAGTTGTAACTTGTAAGCAAGAATTCTGAATATGTCATATGTGTGTCATATTCTGCATTATTATTATTTTTTTCTTCTTCTGTGGGCTGGTTTCAGAGTTCACAACCCATACATGAATTAATGATAGCTTTCCTTTTGGTTCAATGTATTATAAATAAATAACGGTAATTTTTAATTATGTTAGTTTCCCAAAAAAAAAGACTAAAAAAAGAAGATAGTGCAATTAATAATTTTTGTTAAAAATGTGCATTACCTTAATATAGTGTTTGGAATAGTTTTTTTTATGAAATTTTGACTATATTAGTGATATGAGGTCTTTAATATTTTGAATTGTTTTTTTTATCATTTATAGTTCTCATATCCAATTTAAACATGATTGTTTTCCAATAAAGTTTTCCAATAAAGGTGTATATGGTCTATAAAAATAAAATTTTATTTATTTTCATTTCTAAACTATAAGTAGATATACAACTCAATCCGATTTGTTTAGTTCAATATGTATTGTTTTGTATTTATATTGACTTGATGGAAATGGTTCATTGAACAGGTAGATTCCATTTTCGCATAAGTTGCCTCTAGTATGGATATAAATAGAGGTGTGAAAGAAACAAAAAATGATAGAAAGAAGTTGGAGAGAAAACATAATGAATAGAAATTGAGTAGATTTTTAAGGTATTTGAACTGGAAGAAATAAAAGAAGTATAAGAGAAATTTTGTTTCTTCTTCATTCATAGTTTGATTGGATAGAAAAGAAGAGAGCTAAAGAAAATGAATTTTCTTACAAGGACATTTTTATTATTATATATGAAGATTTTTTTGAAGGTAGGTAAGAAATAATAAAGTTAAAATTATAATTTTATGTGGGTTCCACATTTTCATCTTTTAATTTTTTTTCTTCTTATTTATTAAGAAAAGATTTATTTTGAAGTGTGACCAAAACATTTTTTTCTTCTACTTTTCTTCTTAAACAAACAACATAAAACTTTTTTTTTCTCTTTTCATTTTCTCTCTTTTCTACTTCTACTAAACAGATGGTAATGGACTAATTTACAGGCTAAATAGTTGAAGAAAATTTTTAAGAATCAATTGCATTTTCATTATCTATTTTTTTATTTTCACATTTTATCACCTCATTTTAATAATTTTGTAAATTTTGTCATAATACTATTATTAATTGACGATTAATGTAACACATTAATTAATAATTTGATGCATTAATTGCTAACATCTCATATTAATCACTAACATAAATTGATAATATGATATAATATGTTATGTCAATTGTTAATATACTATATAAAAACGATTAATAAAATGATAAAATATGTAAATTTTAAAACTTGAATAACAAAATGTACAAATTTAAAAGTAGGATGATAAAATTCAAAAAATCATAAAACATTGTAACAAAAAAGTGCAATTAAATCAATTGAAAAAAACTAAACATAATTTTAAAATTTTAAAATATAATTGAAAATTCTAAAAAAATATTTTAAAATGATAAAATTGAAAATGTATAACAAATTATTATCAGAAAACATGCATGGAATAACGAAATGCTAAAAACTAATGTTGCATTTCGTTAAGTGAAAATAGTGAAGAAACCGGGTAGAGAACTAGAGACGAAGAAATTAAAAAAAAAAAAAAAAAAAAAAAAAAAAAAAAAAAAAAAAAAAAAAAAAAAAAAAAAAGGAAGTGTGTTTGTTAGAAAAAAAATGATAATAATAAGTGAAGTGCATGAGAAAATAAAAAGTAATAGAACTCACCACTTTTTATTCCTTTGCTAAACTCGAAAGAAATGCCAACACTATTATTTAAGTGTCTTATGAAATTTAAACTATTAAATTAGTATTTTATAGATTAAAATAATTTTTCTTATATTATCGATTAAACTAAAATCTTACCCAATTAACTTTGAAAATAATCAATTACAAATTAGTTTTAAAATATATTTTGTCTTTTTCCCAATTATTTTAGTTTTTTAAAACAAAAACCTTTTTTTTTCACTTTAATTTTCAATTTTGTTCTTGACAAACACATCATATAAAGAAACTTTATGTATATATTAAAAAAAATGTAAAAAAGCATCTCTATATAATTTTTTTATCTATATCATTTTTTATCTATATAAAAAATTATAAAGACAACTGCAATGGAAATATAATTTCTTCTCTCAACCACTAGGATGAGGTTAAATCTCAATACATTTAACTTTTCATAACAAGAAATTACAAATATTTAAATACTAACGAAAAAAAAGCCAATATATGTATGTAATAGTTTATATCCATAATTTTAGAACATGTTTGAAATAACTTATGATTTTCACTTTCAGCTATTTTTTTTAAGAAAAAAGTTGTTTGTAAAATAAGTTGTTTAAAAAATTTAGCTTAAATTAAGTAACTTTTTTTTTTAAAAAAAAGTTATTTTTATAAAGTTGAAAATTTGAAATTTGTGATTATTTTTTAATATTTAAAAAAATTTAATTTATTATATAAAAATTGATTATTTTGCTGTACTTAAACGAGATTAAATATCTTAAAATTGCTTTTGAATAAAATTATCCAAAAAAAATTATTTTGATAAATGTTCTTACCGGAAATTTGTCGTAGAGACGGTCTTTCGAGCAAGATTGGTGAGCCTCCTTCGCGGGTACGCTGGTGCTCCAAGATGGGGGTGGTACCTGCAAAAGAGACTCCGATGCCAAAGTTAGTGTTTGTGGGAGTATGAATCTCGTATAAGTAATGCACGTACCTTAGTGTGAATTAGGGTTGCTTTGGGCCTTGGGCCTGAGATAAGATATGATAAGATCTTGAGATAAGATATGATAAGATCTTGAGATAAGATATGATAAGATCTTGAGATAAGATATGATAAGATTAGATAAGGGATCTCGTCTGGAACGAGATCCCTTGAGATCAGTTATGATCTACTTAAATGCCAAGCTAACGTCGCGTAGCGCGTGCTCGAGGTCATCTTGCGTTGTGATGTCGAGCTCGGAGCTCGGCTTCATAGCACGGACAGTACAATTATAATCAATTGTAACAATAATCAATTATCCCTATAAATAATTATTAAAATAATTTAATTTTCACAATTTTCTAAAACACATTCCTATAGTTAAACAATAAAATAAAAAAGTAATAATTAATATTTTAAAAAATAATTAGTTTGAAGACCATCTGTTAACCCAAAAATTAAACAAAATGGTCTAAATAAGCTCATGTTTAAATAGATCGAAATTCCGGGTTTGTAAAATAAATAAAAATCACTAATCTTAACACGCTTGATCTCTAAACAGGTCCTCACCAAGCTCAAGCTCATAAACCTACTTCTATTTCGAATTAAAATACTTTCTTACAATGAGATTCTTGAAACTATAATTCCTCAAATATAAATGTTATATTTATAATTATTTGCGGTGAAAAAGCTTACCAACTTTACAGTTAATAGCAGGAAAAAGTTCTCTTTTATGAAGGTAATAAATATTTATTTTATTTATTTTAATTTTTTAAATCAAAATTTTTTATTTTCTTTTAAGAAAAATAAAAAAAATATTTTGATGCTTTTTAAAAGTATTTAATTAGAACAAGAGGAATAACAATATTATAATTCAGCAATGTTATATATTTTTACAATTTTTTATAAGTATTTTTAATACTTTATAAAAATATTAATAAAAAGTTAATATATTTAATATCTTTAAAATATAAATATATATATATATATATATATATTTATTTATGATATAAAATAAATGAATTGGTTAATAAAACAGATATTATAAAAAAATATTTAAATATATTTTTAGTGTCCCAAATTTATGATAAATTTATTTTTTTCTATCAAAATTACAAAAATGAAATAAATCAACATTAAATTTAAAATTTTAAAAATATTTAAACCTTGAAAAAAAATCTATAATCATTGAAACTAGAATTAGTGGTGTTATATATTTTTCCTTTCGACTTGACTCTGGGATCAGTACTGTCCTTTCCTAGTTCCAATGCAAAAGGGTTCGGCTTCTGATTCCTCTTCTCTTCATCGTTCCTCACGAAAAATATGTTTCACTTTTAATTTTTTTTATAATTATGATTTGCTTGGAGGTGGTAACACTCTGCTCATTCGATCGAGTGTAAACTTTCACACCATAAAAGTAAGAACCTCTTCTATTTTAGTTTTATTTTCTAAGAAATCTTAAAGAACAACTGGCTTATATCCTTAAAACATGTGA